TAGAAGGTGGGGAGGGGATGGAAGGGGGGGGAGATAAACACAAATTATATTATATATTTTTGCAGTTTCTACTGGAAGAAAAGTTTTCGATATTTAGACTGATTTGTCGAATTTTACAAATGGATGACTATAATGTCATTTTTTGCAGTTTTCTTGGTGCCTTTAGGAAGAGCTTTCAAATGTATTTCTGAATCTGTGGTTTCATTACATTTGCAATATTGATATTCAATAAACCACGGTAATATGTGTTTAGCATAAATGGAAACATCTACTTGATTTTTCAAATGAAGTCACTTTATTTCCTTTAAAGTGTGTGTTGGTTAATTTACATTCTAAGACAGGCCTTCACTACAGATACAAGGTAGTAATAAAAGAAAAAATAAACGTGGTGGAGTCAAAAGTCATAAGGGGAAGGGCGACCAACTACCTGGGCAGCATTCTTGCTGTGGCCTAGCAGTGCTTTCTCCCTCTGCCTGCCAGCCACTCTCTTGACCATCAGTGAGGCTTGGGGGACCCTCCCAGGGGCCTTTAGGACACCCCATGATTTGACTTTTTCTGTGAGAATAGGTGCCCCTGCCCCCCACCATGCATGTGTGAGGGGGGGAACCCTGTGGGGTCAGTCTTGCTTGGCCCAGGACCTGGTGATAGGTATGTGGGAAGGGTAAAGGGTCATCAGGGCACACGCAGAGACCCCTCCCAAAGCCCAGAGAATAATGATTTTGTTTCCTGTTTGGTCAAAGAGCACCCCCAAAAGGGAACATGTTTCAGGTGCCCTGGACAGAGCACAGATCTGCCCCTGCTTGCTGCAGGTCAAGCCCTGGCAGGCCTCCTTTGGGGTCCTGAGATTCCTGTGTCCTCAGGGGAGAGCAGGCCAGCCAGTCCCCATTTGCTGGGCCAAACCCGGCTGTTCCCTCTGTAGTGGCCTCCTGTCCTCCCTTGTGTCCCCCTCCTTCCTCCCTGTCTTGCCCATGTTTTTCACACTCACCTGTGTTGAGACCTGAGATGGAGGTCACTCACTTTCACTGTCACATGACTACCTCACTCCTGTGGGGACAGATGGGCATGGGGGTCAATTCCAGACTTCCCAGTGCATTCCTTGGGAGTGAAGGCACCTCAAGAGTGCTGCCCGTGGTCTTCCTCTATGTGGGTGCCCCCGTCTGCTCAGGCAGCTCTAACAGCACCACCACAGACAGGGGCTCATCAGTAACAGGCACTTATTTATCATATTCTGGAGGCTCACCCCGAGATCAGAGTGCTGGACAGTGGGTGAGGGCTCAGCCAACTCCTCAGTGTCCTCACTGGTGGGAGGAGCTAGCTCTGTGGAGTTTTTTGTTTTTTTTTAAATTTAATGTTTTTATTGATTTTGGAGAGAGGAAGGAGAGAAAAAGATAGAAACATCAGTGATGAGAGAGTCATTGATCGGCTGCCTCCTACACCCCTCTCCCCCACTGGGGATTGAGCCTGAAACTTGGGCATGTGCCCTGACCAGGAGTCAAACCATGACGTGCTGGTTCATAGGTTGCTGCTCAACCACTGAACCACACCGGCCCGGGCTGTGGAGTCATTTTTTAAGGACACTTAGGGCCTAGTCCACTTTCAAAGGTCTACCTCCTAACGCTATCACCTTTGGGGTTACGTTTCAACATATTAAGTTTGGGGGATACAAACATTCAGACCACAGCCATACCCCACCAGCAACCCCAGTGCTCACATTCCCACCAACACTGGGTGTTGTCAGAAGCTTTGGTTTTTTCCTTCAGAGGGTGAGTGGTAGTTAGTTGTTTTATGTGTATTTCCTTCCTTCCATCAGTCAACAGTGGTTGTTGAGTCCCAGATGAATGTCAGGCTCTGTGACAGGGCTGGGGACACACTAGAGATGGAAGGATGCAGACACTAGTGCTGTGCTGGAGCTGACACCCGTGTGTGTGCACACGTGTGCATGGGGGGGAGAGAAGTGACCACAGAATCACTAAGTTCTGTAATTCGTCAGAAGGGATGGGCACCACACAAATAGATTAGCCGGGATGGGGCAGCCGGCAGCCCATGTGGCAGTTTTGTGGGCAAGGCGGTGCTGGGAGGCTGTGTTTGAGACAAGACCTGGAATTGGCTTGCAGGCACAGGAGCAGCTGGGGCAGGTGGGGGTGGAGGTGTCCGTGGGCTGGAGTGGGAGGGGAGGAGAGGGTGAGACAGGTAGGCCTGCAGGTCACAGGCAGGCCTGAGTGAGAAGGGCCGGCAGGGCTTCGAGCGGGAACGCCCCTGGCCTGTGGTTTGAAGGTCCCAGTCTGGAGGGCTGCAGGGCGCCAGGAGCCCGCGTGCCTCCCTCAGGGTGGGGCCAGGCCCCAGGCAGCACAGGCCTGGTTTCTTCCCCGCTCCGGCACTTGTTTGCCCCCCCCCCCCC